TGACTGCTAATTATTACTTTACTTTTTCTAGATGTTGGCAGATCTGTTTTTTTATTATCTTTTCCAGTATCTTCCCAGGTATTGATGTTAGGCTGATTGGTCTATAGTTTCCTGGGTCTGTTTTTTTTCCTTTTTTTCCACATCAGCTCTTTTCCAGTCCTCTGGTAGTTCCCCGGTGCTCCAGGATTTTTGAAAAATATGGTGCAGTGGTTCTGAGATGACCTCTGCCAGTTCCTTTAAAACTCTGGGATGTAATCCATCAGGCCCCGGTGATTTGTTTTCATCAAGATCAGAAGATCAGATCTTACTATTTTTTTTTGCTTATTTTAACTTTTATTTCTGGTCTGTCTTTTACAGTTATATTTTTGGTGGGTTGAGCTATAGTTTCTTTTTGCATGAAGACAGATGCAAAGAATGAGTTAAGCAGTTCTGCTTTCTCTCTGTTGCCTGTTACTTCCTTGCCATCTTCTCTCTTTAGTGGACCGACTGTTTCCTTGATTTTTTTCTTGTTATTTATATGTTGGAAGAAACTTTTTTTTTATTATCTTTGACTTTCGTTGCAAGTCTTTGTTCGTTCTGAGCCTTTGCTATCCTGACTTGTCTTTGCAGATTCTGGCTATCTGCTGATGTTTTGCCTTAGTTGTATGTCCTTCTTTCCATTTTTTGTACTTGTCCTTTTTTTCTTTCAATTTGCCAGAGAGATCTTTGTGCAGCCATGCTGGTTTCTTCTTGGATTTCTTGTTTTTTTTTCTCAGTGGTATTGTGCTGGTCTGGGCTTCTATGATCATAATTATGTGTCAATGCAGTCTACATTCCAGCTATGTACTTCCACAAATTTTAACATTTCTTCTTTAAAAAAAAAACTTTTTTATTTTTCCTTCTCAATCATTTTAAAAATTTATTCTATGGTAGCTGTGGGGGTGGGGTTCTTTTGGTTATAACCTTGGAATTTTTATTCCATTTTTATGTTCTATGTTTTGTTAATCATTGCTTAAATAACAAAATTATAACTTGCTAATGATAGGTAAATTACCAAAAAACAAAAACCCAGAATAAGAATTCAGTCTTCCTAAACTGTTTCCTGGATTAATTTCCCACTTTACAATTTTTGTTTACTTCAGAGAGACAAAAGTACCCAATAAGCCACTGTATACTTTTGCAAGGTGAATTCCCTCTATATTTGCACACACTTCTCCAACATAAAAGGAATAATTTTCCATTCTTCACAAGGCAGTACTTGACAAGTTTAAACTCAGGTTAAATATGATGGCTCACTGCATGAAAATCAACGTTTAATCTGTCTTTTGAAGTTGGTGATCAATGGATTTCAGGTGTTCTACAGTAGTAGCTGCCAATGAATAGGGGTGGGTGCAAAACACAAAGCTTGGTTGTTTTGAGCAGTAATCCCAACTATTGTAGTTTTTAAAAAAGGCTTTCTTTCCTGATCTTTTGACTGATTAAGATTGCCTCTCTTCTGTGCACACTTTTATAGAATATTATTGGGTGGCTGTGTATCCCAGTCTACATATTAGCCAAATATTAACTCTATTTGATCTATGTTTTTCTAAGATAACTGAGCAGAAATACCTAGTCTTGGTCTGTGGGTAGGTGATCCCTGTCATGCTATTCATAGACTGTGTGGCCTTTAGAACAATGAAAGTTGGGTACTCCTGTCCATATCAGTGGTTCCAGACTAGAATGTATCATTCTACCTTCACCTGGCAGATCAGTCTTGCTGATTTGAGTTTGAGCATTTTTAGAATGTCTAAAGGGTTAAGGTAAAAAACTCACTCAATTGTATCTGAAGCCATTGAGATATATTTGACTTATCCAGTTTTAAAAACACACCTGTCTTTATTCCATTATCAAAACTAATATTGTTAACCACCTAATCCCTTTGGAGTCAAGTACTGATATCCCATTTCATTGATAACTGAGTACTTTTAGGGACATAATTGAACAAAACTCAGATAATTGAATAAAAAAATGATAACAGGCATCCTGATAACAATGTTACCACAGTTTCATCTTTAAAAAAAGCAGTTTTCAGTGCAGTTGTTAGATCTGGCTATCTGTGTAAGTGGAGGTGGTGCTTGAATAGGCAGTTTGTTCATACAGACATGTATCTGCAATTTTCCCCAAGGCATAATTCCTGGTCTTGTCTGCAGCAGACCACATCCTGCCTTTTTTTTTTTTTCATTTGGGTATCAAATAATCTTCCTAACTGTTCTAAGTCTTAGTTACATTTCCTTAAAAAAGGGTGTGTGTGACTTTTCTGGATGGAGACTGCACACCTGCCGTATTCCCTCCAAACAGCATTTGTCTGTTGGGGATGTTTGGTGGGATGTTTGTTTGGCTGTACAGTTGTTGACAAGCTTTAGATATTATTCCTAAGACTGTTTTTCAGCTGTAGGAATTGTACTGTCTCCCCAGAATTGACACATTTAAGTGTCTTTTAGGTTTTCCAAACAATTTTTTTCTCTAGTAATACGAATGATGTGGATAAGAGGAGAGGACACTACTGTGAAAAGAGAAATGAGAGCTGGTGTGGTATACTGGTTAAATTGTTGGACCAGACGCAGAAAATTCTGCTCATTCACAAAATATCATTGTGTAACTTTGAGCCAGTCTCTCATTCTCTCAGCACCACCTGCGTCACAGGGTTGTTGCGAGAGAAAATAGGAGGAGGGAGCTGTATGCATGCTACCTTATGGTTCTGATTAAGGGCAGAATATATGTCAAATAAATACATGGAAGAGGTCATCAATCAGAAATAAAAACAAGTCTGTTAACATTGTAATGTTCTATAGTATATTTACATTTGCATTGTGTAAGGTTCTGGTCACTGCATTTGAAAAGGGATATAACAGAACTAGAAAAATTGCCAAAGAAAGCAGCCAAAATTATTACCTTTCCTATGGGAAAAGGGTAAAATATTGAGGAATTTTTAAGATAGAGAAAATATTATGGAGACATTAATTTACAACTGTAGAGAGAAAGTTGGCATGGAGATTTTTTCCCTGTCTTAAGAAATAGGACCAATGGGCATTTGTTTCTCTTATTCTTTTATTTTTCTTATATGTAACCATTTCATGTATTCACAACTATGTATACATTTATACTTATTATCTTGTAAACAATTGGCAAATCAAATAAATAAATAAATAAAATAAAATAAATAAATAAAAATAAATTTAATTGGAAGGAAGATATAGATCAGATAAAAGAAAACAGTTCATATGGTACTTAATTAATTTTGTAGAGTTCATTATTACAAGACATGATTATGTCTAGTAATTTGTTTGCCTTTGAAAAAAGATTGGATTCATTCATGGAGGACAGTTCTATAAAAGCCTATTTGTCTTGAAAACTCAATGTAGTTTGTAGATTGGAATTAGACTGTTTTTCCATTCCATTTGCAGAGGAATAATGCCTGCTTTTCAAGAACCCCAGAAATGTGTGCTTGGCCATTCTCGGAAGCAAAATGCTGAACTAAGATGGGTCTCGGACCTACCTAGATGGGGTATTCTTAAGTGCTGCTCAAGCTCAATGTAAAGGAATCCTTACCAGTTTTATGAAATTGTATTTATTTATATACCTTCCTAGGAATCTGTGCCAATAATTGGAAGCCCAGGTACTTTTCCCCAAAAGCAATTTGATAAAAGGGTGACTAAAAACTGTCCTGTTACTGAAGATGGGTACTTAGGCCAATCTTTTTCTATTTTTGAGTGGGTTTCCCCTTTGAGAACAGCCATATTTCCTGTTACATTGATATGTAATATGAAGTTTTTATTCAAGTGCTATGCATAAATTTGATTTAAAGCACAATATGTGTGGTGGCAGTAATCTTAAACTTTTCTAACTTTTAAATCTATAATAGAGCCAGATGATTTAATCTTTCTTACTACTATTTTCATAATGATAAAAAAATGATATTCTTTACATTGCTAATGTTGGTACTCCTTTGCCTAAGTCCTTGATTATATATTTTAAAAACTGAAATCACCACTAGTGGTCTGATACCTTAAATATGGGAACTGTAGACATATTTGAAAGAGATTAACTGTAAATATAAAAATTATTTTGTATTAATTGGATCATTGCATAACATGGTATTCCTTTGGAAATGGTCATTACAATTTTACAAATGGAAATATTTCTTGATCTTTATTATTAGTATTAATTTAATGGTTAGCATGAGGTTTACAGCTTTTATTGAGCATATTTTACAAAGGATAAAAAAAAATTATGTTATTCCAGTCAGTGAAGAAGGAATTGCTTGTGTGCAGAAAGTTTCTACTATCTCCAAGAAAGGCTGAGATTGGAAATGACCACTGCTCAAAGTCCTAAAGGACTTCTGCACCCTTTGAAGTTGTTGTATTACATCCTAGACAATTTTGTCCTAGGATTGAAAGTTGGCCCCAAGAAGTCCTATTACATTTTAAATAATCTTTGCTACCACTTATAGCAAACTACAGTTTTGTATTATTTGGAGGAGATCATTGCCTGTTGTTATTTATGGCAACAAATAATGTTTAAGAGTGGTTGCTGCAGTGGCAGCAAAACAACTGATGGATGGATAATCTAGTGTAGCAAAGTATGAAAGTGCAATTTGCCAGGTAACTGACTCACAGTGACCCATAGTAGGATTGATCCTATCTTTTAAAATCTTCTTTTAGCGGTAAATGACTTTACTTGCAAGTTGTAAGGGGTTTTTGTGCCATAAATGAACATGGGGGCTAGTTAGTTCTGGTATTCTATAGTGAAATTATAAAATGCTTGAGAATAACTGAGAACAGTGTGTTTCAAATATGAAGTAGTTTGGGAACCTAGAATTGGAAGTATTCTCATGAGGGTAGATATTAATATATAATAAAAGAATGGTGTTTGTTTAGTTATCGTTTATATATATATATCTGATACATTTAATGAAGTAAATGAGACATTGCAGATTTTCAATCTCTTTACTGAGTGTTATTTTTCTTCTTTTTTTTTAAAAGCTTCTCCTCTCTTGCTTTTTGCAAACCGTCGAGATGTCAGACTGGTGGATGCCGGTGGAGTGAAGATGGAAGCAACGGTTGTAGTCAGTGGTTTAGAAGATGCTGCTGCAGTGGACTTCCTTTATTCACAGAATGTTATTTACTGGACAGATGTGAGCGAAGAAGCTATCAAACAGACTTATTTTAACCAAAGTGGGAATCTTGTACAGAGTGTCATTGTTTCAGGGCTGCTTTCTCCAGATGGCCTGGCATGTGACTGGATTGGGAAAAAATTGTACTGGACTGACTCAGAAACAAATAGGATTGAAGTTGCTAATCTCAATGGAACATCTAGGAAGGTTCTTTTCTGGCAAGATCTTGACCAGCCAAGAGCAATTGCCCTGGATCCAGCTCATGGGTAAGCACCCCGTATTTTTAAACTTTCACATTCATTTGCAGGATCATGGTTGTTTTCAACTTGCCAAACAAAATACAATCTCTTCTCACAAATGTTGTTTACTCAAGGTATTTTTCTCTGAATGTATGCTTACATTTAAATAAAACATAGGATGAGGAATGGGAAGTCATAGAAGAACATCCTGACTAATGCGCCAAACAAAACATTTAAAAAATATTATTTTTCCAGCTTAGAATTCTTTAAAACTTTATAAACTTTAAACTTTATAGCTTTTAACATTATAAAACTTTACAATGTTGTGATTTATCTATAATTAATGTGGCTGGTGAAAATTTTTTAGGGAGATTGCCTGCTAAAATGCATGATAGATTCAGTTTTGCAAATCTGCAACATTGGCTTTCCACTGAATCTTAATAAGTTTTCAAATACTGTGTTTGAGGTAAGAAGGGATCCAATAGTTATAAAATAAGGGAGGATGGAAATGAAATTTCTGTACTTTTCATCAAGGTTAAGACTGACCACAGATCTTCTTTTTAAGAGCAAAATGTAGAGCTTAAATAGTTGAGAATTAAATCATTCAGTTCATAAAACTGTATATTTATTAATAATAACTTGCTTCAGTTAGATCCACTGTGTAGTTCAGAAATAATGCTTTCAATTACTTGAATTCCCAATTATCCAAATATTCTGGTTAACCACACCTAACAGCAGTTCTGGCATCCAAGTTAGTGGGTTCTAATATTAGAGAGCAGGAAAAAAAATCTCATTTCGTCATTGGGGAAGAGATATTGTAAATGTTGGGAAAGAAAATAGATCCATGCCCCCTTTTCTTAATTATCCTGCTTTAGGAATTCTGAATTATTTAATTGCCCAGGGGATTCCCTTCCAGAGGCTGTAGACTGAAGCTTTAATTTATAAATATGGCTGCATCTTGCAAGGTCGGAAGTGGGATGGGGGAAGTTAGGTGGGAGGCTGCCGCAGCATCACTGCAGTCGGTTTTAACAGCAGGCAGGTTGCCTAGCACTCAAAATTTTGTTCTGAGGCACTGTAACTTTGGGTAAGAGTCATACCTCCCTTCATTCGCCATCACCCATCATAATTTCGAATGGTCACTGAATAAATTTGTGGTAAGTCAAGGACTACCTGCATGTATTTTATTATTAGCCTTGTTTCTCATTGTAAAAACAATTATATTAAACTATTAATTATAAATATAGGGTCAAAACTATTTGTAATTTGTGAAAATTACTCTTGAAATACATATTAAAAGCATGTTGGTCATAACAGCATAATAGTCATAATGAATCATCTTAATAAAATTATCCTGCCTGTAAGGCCCAAGCTCTTATGAGATGGAAATTGTCTTGTATAAGCAGAATACTGGGAAGCAAGAGATTGAGGGCAGGGTTGAGTAATGGTGAAGCTGACAGGGTGCAAGAGAGTATTCATCCTAATTAGAGAATTTGATAATATCCTTCCCCCCTCCACAACCTGCCTTGTACACACAATTAATATAGTGGTGATTTGTGGTTGAGTATGCTAGCATTGCAAAAATAATACAAATAGGAAGACCAATATTATGTCTGTTAATTGTTCCTTGAGAAGAACTTATCCACTTTTTGGGATGCATATAATTTATATATAATATTGATCATCTAATTTATATGTAATATTGATCATTATATAAATCATGTAATTTATATATAATATTGATCATGAGGGAGATGTTTATATCCAGGATCTTCTTATGAGATGTCTTGAACCATAAAATAAACAATCTAAACATTTTATTTACACTTGCCCGCCAATTTGTCCAAATGAAGCTATAATGATCAGATTCAGATCCATTTATTAATATGGCTACCAACATTTTACAAATTCATTGTCAGGATCTTGCCTTCCTAACTCTTATTCTCTCTGTTGAAGAGTTTAAGAGTTATTTAGAAATTCATTCTGATTCATATTGACTGTGGTAATGTTCATTTATTGGTCTGTTTTTCTATTCTCAATTCATTATTATTGTTCGCAAGTTTTTTATTTATTTATTTATTTATTTTATTTTATTTATTGCTTTCAGTATTTTCACTATTTGGTGATGGGTAAAGTATTTCATGTTTGTTGCTGCTCCTCCTTTTGCTTGGGCCCATTATTCGTCCCTAAGTTTAAGTTTTCCTGACATGACCTCTTAATTAATTTTCCTTAAATATTCAGTTGGCCTTTTCTTAATCTTAAATTAAGAAATTATTTAAAATGAATGACTTCTTACCTCTGATTCCCTCTTTGATACATTACTTGGTGTTGTTTCTTTCATATTTCTAGCTAATTAGTGCTTTGCTTTATAATTTCATTCTTTCACTCTGGTTCCTGTCTTAGGTAAAATATGTATTTGGTACTTTCCCTTCTTTTTTCACCTCAGTTATCACATGATGTTTTGTTTTAGAATTCTAAACCTGCAAGCAGGGCTTAATGATTCCCCCACCCCCCCATGCATGCATATTAAATGCATATTACATTCTTTATATTGATAACTGTGATGGTTTTATATTTTCTCTGATATACTTGTCTTTCCCAGAATCCTCAATTTAAATGCAAATAAGCTTTGAGCCCACAAAGAACACAGTTACTTAGCTCTGGTATGTAGTAACAATGCTGACTTGTATAGCCCTAATTGTCCCAAGATTCTGAGACTCGAAATATAATCTTGGGCCAAGGTAATTGACAGGTTTTCATTAGGCATCTTTAATGCTATTTTTTAAATGTTTCATAGGTCTAGAAAGGATAGGTGTGAGCTGCTATATGGAAAATAGAATTTTGGAGTCTTTGCAAAGACATGTGTAAGATATTAAGTTACATGGAAGTTGATTGGTTTAGTTGACAAACTTTATAGAACTTAAAAAAACTTAATAGTTCTGCAAAATGCTGGACCATTCACAAAAAAGAAGGCCCTGATTCTAGGTTTATAATGTATGGTAAAGCAGTGTCTTTCTATTTTTTTTGCTATTTAAAAAGACCTATACAGCTTAAATTTGTTATTTAAAAAGATCTAGACAATTTATGTGCTAGGCTGAAATGAATAAAGTGGAATTTAAGTGGCAGAAATATAAAACCTGTAATTGGATAGGAAAATGGGGCAGTATAAGATGGGAAAGTACATGATGTGGGAGACAAGAGACTTGTCTTAGTAGCAGTGCATGTGAAAGGGATTTGGGAATCTTTGTTGATCCCAAATTAAATATGAACCAGCAGTGTGATGTAGGAATGTGTTATTTTTGAATGTATTAGCAGGATTAAAGATTCTAGAACACAGAGAATAATAAATCTAATCTAGCCTGCATTGGTCAATTCCTACTTGAAATACTCAAATCTAATTCTAAACATCCTGACTGAAAAGTGCAGTCACAAAAAGGAGCAAGTTCAACAAAAAAGTTAACATTAAGTGGTGATGGGTTAATCTGAGATAAAGATCCAGCTTGGTCTAGTGCAGGGATGCATTACGGGCTGGCCACGCCCCACCCTGTTTAGTGAAGGAGAAAAAAAGTCCCAATATGTCACGTGATGCCAATATGTCACGTGACACCGACATTATGATGTGAGTTTGACACCCCTGGTCTAGCGGTTAAGGCACTAGATTAGAAAGCAGGAGACCTCGAGTTTTAGTCTTGCCTTGGCTATGAAAGTTTGGGCCAGTCATTTTCTCTCAGCCTAACTTACCTCACAGGATTGTTGTGAGGAAAATAGGAGGAAGAAGGTGTGTTCCATAGGTATGCTGCCTTGGGTTATTTGTAAAAAAAAGTATAAAGCGGGATATACCTTTTAAAAAATAAAAAATAAAATTCTAGTATTTGTGTGTTTGAGGATGTGGTACTGTGGGAGATATTCTGGTTCTTTTATGTGTATCCTATATCCTGTTATTAAATTTTGAGCAGTTCATCTAAATATTTATACTAGTAAAAAGCAGTGGCATGCTTTTATTCTAACAATTGGTTTTATTGAGTATTAAGGCTTTTGTTGTTTGAGATATTATGAAGCAAGAATGCCACCTTGTCATACTTTCCCTTCTCCCCTAATCTAACAAATTTCTCTGTCTGTTTTATGGAAGTAGATTAATGAGGTATGCAGAATATTTACATGTGTCTTTGATAATAGTAAAAGCTAGTTCTTTACCTTACTTTCTAATTTTTTTCATCTTTGCATGGATCTATTGTCATTTAGCTTACTGTCTTTTGATTTGCATACATTTTCTGTATTTAAGTGTTTAATGGGGCAAAATTTAGCAAAAGTTCCAGAGGATGTACAATGTATGGGAAGCCCTAATCACATTTGAAAAGTCGATCATTTTGTGTTACTTTCAGGCAATATTTGAATTTATTTTTTTTTTAAGAAAATCCATTTATAATGGTAGTTGGTTGTGTATTTACTCTCCAATCCTGTTGTGGAACTTGTTTGTTGCTTTTCTTGGTGGGGGAAGGAGAAGAGGAATAATAGTGGCTTGAGGTCTGTCCTTGTGGAATTAACTCTTTAACAGCTGCATTCCTTGTCTGTCTTTGTGGCATCCATCCCACCCCTTTTTTTTTCTTTTCACAGTTCACTCCTACCTTGGTTGTAAAAGGCCCCTTAGTGTTTTTTCTGCACAATTTGAAATTGAGGATATGCAAGTCTTTTTAAGTAGCTTACTTTTCTGAACTTGCTCCAGAGGCTTTCTGACTCATTTTTAATAAAATAAAAGGTTACTTTCGCAAGTTTGGTATATAGTTTCTTTAGCATTTGCTAGCATTACCTCTCAGTGTATTCCTTGTGATTGTATTTCCATTATAAAACAATACTGTTTTCATTTGGAATCTTTCAATTTTCCTGGAAAATTTGAATTATAGTGGCTGCAAAGTTTGTATAGGTTATTTTGTATTACAGTTTGTTTTTTCCCGGGGCAAAGTTTCATCTTAACTATGAATACTTCAGTATGTTTATCCAACATCCTATTTTTTTAAATTGATGGCATCTTAATCTAGTTTGGTCATAATTATATTTAATAAATTAGGCATTTATTTTATAAGTAATTTTATTTGAAAATTACATACTCCTGGTAAAGTTGGGCTTTTGGAATGTTTTTTTTCTCTCTTAGTCAATTGTGTCTGATTCTCAGAAACTGCCTGGATAATACTCTGCAGTTTTCTTGGCAAGGTTTTTCAGAAGTGGTTTGCACAAGAAAATTGTTAATACTGTATTTCAGTACTGTAATTATAAATCTGAACATGGCATACATAATTAAAACATTATTAAATATGCGGTAATAGGGAATGATTGGACCTATGCTTAAGAGATATTGCAGTTGAGGAAATTTGTAGCTTGTATGGTCATATATTCCACTCAAAAAGTTACCTCTGGATTCTTTGTACTGTATTGTAAATTTAATCAACCACAATCAGTGAATTAGCCACACATTCCAGTTTGAACACCACATTGATTGGATTTGCAGAGTAAACTACGGTAAATCAGAACCAAATTAAACCACACAATGACTTAATACATTATCTGACTAAGCTCTTGAATTATGGCAAGAAGATATACTAATCCTGCTATTCTTTTGTCTGCTTAATCTAAAGTACATCAACTATAGAAGTAAACAATTTGGCCTCTCAATATGCTTGATTACAATTCCCATTGGTATGTATGTATTTAAATATTTAGGAGCAATTGCTATAGTTGACATCAGTGTAAGAAATGTGCTGAAGACCATCTTTGAAAAATTGCAAATTAATACAGCTTTCTTTATCTTTAGTAAAACATCTGCTCTTGGTTTTCTAATATCTTATTTTTGTTTCAAACTTCAAACTTTTTTGTTCCTTAATTTAGTTCATGGTAAAAGATAACCTTTTCTTTTTTTTCATTTGTATAAAAGAAGTAGGATTAGGCAAATCATATTCCACAAACAAAATCATGTTGGGAATTTAGGTATACATCTTTAAAAGATTATTATGATATTTTTCAACTAACTCTATTCATAGCATAATAACCACAAATTATGCTGAATTGGCAGAGAGTATTAAAATCTAAAGCCATTAGAGCAATAACATTCTTCCCGGATATTGTAAAATTTATATATAGTTACAAATATATATAATATATATAAAATGAATATATGAAATGGGATATTAGAAAAGTCAGGATATTATCTGGTTAAACATTTAATAGGGAATCCATCTCTGCTGAATATATTTTTTGAAGAATTGGTTACAAATTTCAGCTGAATCAAGTTTCATCGTTCCTTCTTAATTTTATTAGATTTCAGCAGTGAAACCCTTTAGCATGGGGTGACAAACTGGATTTCTTTGGGGGCCAAATCAGCATTGCATTTCTCCTCCATGGGCCGGCTTGTGGGGAGATGGGACGGACACCTCCTGCAGTACCCTGCCAGCCAAAATGGGGCATGGGGGTGCGTGTGGCCCCCCGTGTCCCATTTTGGCCAGCAGAGTGCTGCAGGAGGCTGCACAGACAGAAAACAGGCCATGGGAGGGGCGTGTGTGGCTCGCTGTGCCCCATTTAGGCTGTCAGAGGCACTGCTGACCAGTCCTTTCCTATTTCCAGGCTGACCCTATGGGCCAGATTTAAGCACCCTTGAGTTTGCACCCCTGCTTTAGCAGTATTTGAAGAATGGTATATGCACATTGTTTAAATTCAGGGAACTCTCTTTAGTTCTGTAATACACTTCTGTACTTGGTAGCATTGGCATTGAAAGGAAGGTGAAAAATGTCCCAGAAGAAGTAATAAAATAATATGGGAAGAGGAAATAGAAGCTGAGACAGTGAGTTGAATTGAAATTCTTTATGATATAAAATGGATTTAAATCTACTTTAGAAAATTAGAATTAGAATAACAGAATTGGACGGGACCTTGGAGGTTTTCTAATCCAACCCCTGCTCAGGCAGGGAACCCTATACCATTTCAAACAATGGTTGTCCAATTTCTTCTTAAAAACTTCCAGTGGTGGAGCACACAACCTCTAGAGGCAAGTTGTTCCACTGATTAATTGTTTTAACTGTCAGGAAATGTCTCCTTAGTTCTAGGTTGCTTATCTCCTTAACTAGTTTCCATCCATTGCTTCTTAGAAGTCCTGCCCTCACACCAAGCCCTGACACCAAGAAGTTATCTAAGTAATATTCGGTTTCCTTGATTTTCTGATTAATAGCCACACATTCATAGTCAATATGAATATAATAACAGCAGTTTTGTCATATGGTTTGGTTGCCAGTCATTTTCTAACCTTCTGAGAGTACTCCATTAACCTTTAAGCCTACAGTGCCCTAAATAGTTTATCTTAAAAGAGCATGTCCTTCCATTTCTATTTCTCCAAATACCAGGGCCAACTTCTGAAGCTCTTCTCAATTTATCACTGCCAAAGAAAAGAAGTACATGACTACAAAGACAGGGTGGTGTTGGCATCCTGCTTGAGAACCACGTTGACTTTAAGGCATGGTTTCGGTTAACTGATTTTAGTCCTTTCTAAATCTTTGTGTTACTAAAATTTTCTTTTAGCTGTATGTGTCAGTGTTTTCAGCCAATTATTTATTTTGTTATATGCCGTTTTTATCATTGTTGTGTTTCATTTTATTTATCTCTTTATTGTTGGCAAAAACCTGAGTAAGTCATTAATTCAAAAGTTGATAAATTACTTCTACTCAGATGCAATAGTAGAATCATTTTTTTAAAAAAATGGCACTTCTTATTTTAATTTGCTGAAAACAGTTACTGTAGCTAAAAAGTTGTACAGGGTATATGTAAATTTTTTATTGGCAGATTGTAATAGAGCCCAAGGGGCTCATACCAGTTGAGATAAAGAGTCCTTGTTCAGTAAGTGATGAAAAGACTTATATTAATTTGAACTGTATAGGAAACAACAGACTTTATATTTTTAGAGATAGTTAACTAAGGTGAGAAAACTTCAAAAAAAAATAACAAAAGATATGTTTTGCTTTTAAACAAATGTTTGATATCTGTGGAATCAGACACACAAACTTGATTTCAAGGAAATTCACAAAATTTCCTTGATTTCAGGAATGTTTCTATTCTGTTATTGTAATTGTATTTGGATTTTTAAAAATTATTTCTAGATACATGTATTGGACAGATTGGGGCGAAACACCTCGAATAGAGCGTGCTGGAATGGACAGCAGTTTTCGAAAAATAATCGTGGATTCTGACATTTATTGGCCCAATGGACTCACCATAGATCTCAGTGAACAAAAGCTTTACTGGGCTGATGCAAAGCTGAGCTTCATTCACAGAGCAAATCTGGACGGCTCTTTCAGGTAGGGGTGGTGTGTATGTGCATATATGAATGCATGTAACCTTCTGCAAATACATTGAATATTGCTTAGCTGTTTTCTGTTTAAACTTATCTGGTGCTAATGTATTTTCTGGAAACTATGACAACAAAGGTTATCAACCTTGCATCACCAGTTGCCCTTGAATATTTTGATAACTGTCTGGCAGATCATTATTTGTTCCTTTTTCTTTTTACATGTTTCCATCTCTCCTTTATTGTTCTTTGCTGCTAATTCATGCTTTCTCATGCCTCCCTTTTCACCCCATGGTGATAACTCATTCTCCATGTACATGGTAACATTGAATTTTCTGTGTTGTTCAAAAGCACCTATGAATCAAGTATGTATGTCAATGGTTGTGACCTTCCATACATAGAAGAAATGGAGTCACATAAATACATACTTTGCATAGCTGGTATATACAAGATGAGGGAGAGAAAGTACTATCTGCTTGTCCTTTCTTTGTCTGCAGAATTATATTAGATTCTGAATGATTAAAAAACGAACTCAGTTTTACTCCCCATAACTGCTGTCTTTGAAGGGTTACATTACAGCCCAGATTCAAGAAATACAAATAAGTACTGTTGGAACATACATATCTCCTGCTATGACAAAGTTGTTCTAGCAATAGCAAAGTTAGTTTTCAGAATGTTAATCAAAGTTCCTTATGTGTATTGTTATCATTTAAGATAAAATATTCCAGCAATCTCATTTTTTTCTCCTCTTCCTCTTCACTCATGGCTGGACATTGTGCAATACATATTTGTGTTTTGTGCACAACATAATTCCGTAGCTTTTTGTATCTTATTATAGATGTTTAAAATTATTTTGGAGTGGTAATGGAAAATATGAATATGATATTTTAATGCCCAAAAGACCTTTAGTTTTAATAGTGCTAAATAAATTAAACTTCAAAGAAATTATGTACACTACAAATATTGCTATTGTGAATGGTAAATTAAAATTGCTGGAATTTTAGACTCCTGTGTGAGGAACCTCCATTTTGAAAAGTCAGAACAACATAGTAATTTAAATAATTTTTCAGAACAATGTATGTTATGGTAATTGTGGTTCCAGTTTGCAGCCATGGTATTTTTTGAAATGATTCAGAAGAAAGTGTTTTGACCAGTTATGTGCAAGGCCCATTCCACATAAATTGAATTGCTGCTGTTTATGAAAGCCACTGTTATTTTATTTAAATTTTGACATCTTGTCTTTCCATATTAATTTGTGAAGTAGTTTTTGTAATCACTTTGGAAAATATTCTTTCTTCTACAAACCAGGCAAAAAGTGGTAGAAGGTAGTCTGACTCATCCATTTGCCCTGACGTTGGCTGGAGACACTCTGTACTGGACAGATTGGCAGACGCGTTCCATTCATGCCTGCAACAAGAAAGCTGGAGAGAATAAGAGAGAAATAATAAATTCTCTTTATTCACCAATGGACATCCAAGTTTTGAGCCCTGAAAGACAGCCATATTGTATGTTTGCTGTTTGTTTCTTTTTCTCTCACATTGGGGATAAGTGGGATTTTAAATCTAACACCCATGAAGAAAATACAAATTATTATTTATGCAACGTAGGCCCCTGCACTACTATAATTATTAATAAGCCTGGTATGCTAGGCTGTTATTTGATTGTGATAGAAGGTTTAGTCCTAAATGCCATGGCGTAGGTTCTTAACTTGATTGCTGTTTAATAAAGTTTGTTATCATATTTATATAAGAAGTTGATTGCAGAAAAGAATCTCAAACTGTTTCAAAAGAAAGAAAATCTCAGGGTCTCATCCTGTAGATTTTTCACCGGTGTTTCAGTGGAAGTTTGCAAGACAGAATTTATCTGATTGTCAATGATGTGGCTGTTGCTGTAATATTAAAGAAACTCAACCAGCTAGAGCATAATAACTGAATAAAAGTGCCAAGAAAGGAGACTTGGGATTCACATTCTGTGGACTCTGTAAGTTACTCTCATTAATATAACAGCTAATTCCCACTTTGATGCCACAGATCTCTGAACAATGTATCAGACTGAACAGTTGAACACTTTCCAAGACTTAAAATGAGATCATCATTAATTGGTTGTGCATATCATTCATAGCGCAATGCAAATTTGGTTAAAAAAGCAGGCCATAGCAATGCAAATTCTTTGCCGACATACCTTTTTCCCCTACTTATTGAAACAGGATTTCATTCAGAAATGTTAAAATTCAGAATTTCTCAGGCGCATGTATATATATTAAATATTTTAAATCAGTGGTTTTAAGGACTTATTTTTCATTAGTAAAAAAAATAACTTTACTGTGAGTGACTTGGAGGGAGGAGTGGCAGAGGGGAAGATACCTCATTATTTCTCATGGATGAAGCCTTTAATCAACAGGGAAAATCTGTGGAAAAAAATTGAAAACCAAGATAGTATGCTTTGATTGAATTCTTTAGCCACAAGATTCCCAAAGAAATTGTGTCTTGTGCATACTAAATATTGGAAACATAATGTAACGTAACACATAGTTCTATCCTAAAGTTGAGTACTATCTCATTTAAGAGAGCATTGAGGCCTAAGTCTACTATTGAAAACCTCGGAGGAGGTTCAGCTTATTCTGACGAGCTGTAGCTATACTAAGAAAAAGGATAGATGTTTTGTAAATATTCATGGAGAAGAGAGAGGCAGTTAAGAGCTGCTTTAGCTGAGAAACAGGTGCAAAGCTTCAGTAGATGTCATTGGGTATGTGCCCTGATAGAGTTTGTCCTTGCGTTCCAGATGAGGCAATGCGATGCTCTCGGAATTCCTAACATTTCTCTCAGCTGAGAGCACGTCCCACCCCTGGGTCACAATATTTGTGGACAGTAGTGAGGAAAGCCTCGTACACTGGGAAATACTATGTGCTAGAAATAGTTCAGATAATACTGTCTCTTGATTCGACTGGATTTGAATGCCATAGCTCCAAGTGTTTGTACCATATTAACTGATTGTGGATCATACACAGGGATATCATCTTAACACTGGTGCTTTTGAATGATTTTACACACACACACACACACACACACACACACCACTTTAAATTGTCACGCTCTCCTTTTGATGCCATAATCAAAACAGATTACATATTGGGATGAGGAAGAACAAATCAAACAGAACACCCCAGATCTTAAATTTTTAGGTTTGACTGTGAGATAGATACGTGATTTTGTATGCTTTCCAAAGTACACTAGCTATAATAAACATAAATAATAACTAGAAATATTTAGGCTATGTATAGCCAACATAATTGACTGGGACACAGCTGAATATAGAAAATACTAAGAAGTTGTTACAATTGTTGCAGGGTGAGATATACAGAAAAGTATGAACTGATGAAACAAATAACAATTGTTCATGTTCAACCTGCGCTGTAACTATAACAGCAGTCCAAATAGAAATAAACACACAGCATCCAGTTGTCCCTTAACAGTTTTTTATGAAACTATCAAACTCTATTGAACCCCCAACAGCTTTGTAGCAGTTTGAGATACTGTAGTGTGAAAAGGTACTTTTTTCAGGACAGTTTTATGTTTATTGATACTTCCCTAAGGTCATATGGAGTCACATTAAATGTCTGTCTTGTAGTCAATTATCTTTTAGTGCCTGACTGAATTTATGAGGAAACATAAAGTGTAATTATCATCTTTAGGGATCTAGGTTTCCTTTTGATGGTATCAGAATGTGTTTAAAAATGTGCATGATTTCCTTTTCTTCTCTTATTTTTCAAGTTCACACACCCTGTGAGGAAAATAACGGTGGTTGTTCACATTTGTGCCTGTTGTCCCCAAAGGAACCCTTTTATAGTTGTACCTGTCCTACTGGAGTCCAACTACAAGAAGACGGAAAAACCTGCAAAGCAGGTAAGGAAGACTTCACCTTACCACTGCTTGCTTTAATGAGCCACAACTCGATCGTTAGCTGTCCTTCAGCTTTCAGCTTTGTTTCACAAATCCACAAAAGTTGTAAATGTGAGAATTGATCATAAAACTATTTTTACATCACTTTCAAAAATGCAACAGTTTCGGTTACCCTGAGGTAAGATGGGCAGCCAATACATTTTATAGATCAATAAAATAAATAAATAGTTGTTAAACGAGAACCATCTGTGGTGTCTGTTCTCTAGTTTTTTCTTCTCTTCTCCTGAATCCCCCAACCAGTCCCCTGAACGCTTCTTATTTTATAGGTTATTTGTCTATTTATTATAAATTCATTTCCTTTAGAGGCACTCAAGACTGTAAGAAGATGCCTCAATGTCAATTAAGTCAGGTTCAGTTTAAAGTACAAAGCTCCATACTAAAGCATACATAAACATGCAAGGGATAACAGAACTTGTATCTTCTGGGAAGATATTTTTAGCTTTGTAATGGCTGCTCCTGTAATTTGCCAGTGGATGGGTAACCATTTCAGATACCTATCTTAAAATATTAATTTATGACTCTTCATTCTAACTATTACACCACTACAGCTCTTTTATAAACCTAGATTTCTTATAATCATGGCATGTCTGAACCTAGAACAGTGGTAGTCAACCTGGTCCCTACTACTACTAGTGGGCGTTCCAGCTTTCATGGTGGACGGTAGGGGTTTTGTCCCCTACTTTATAAATCACCATTACTGTGGAACTGGTGGGTGGTTAGAGAAAATTTTACTACTAACAGAGATACAAAAGTGGGCGGTAGGTATAAAAAGGTTGACTACCCCTGATCTAGAACCTGACATGTCCTGATATCTTTTGAGTGATTGTAGAATGGGGAACATTGGGAAGTCATCATATAAATCATGATTATTTTGCTCATCTGCAACACTGGTATACATAACAAATTATGGCTAAAGTGTATTCTGGGATAACAATATGAATGACCTCTGCCCAAAATAGTCTGAGATGGAAGTTACATATTCATCATCATATCAGGACTGATATATCTATATGTATGTATGTATGTATGCATTCATTCATTCAGATATATATGTATTCAGGTAGGGGTGTATGTGTGTGTTCAGATGTATACATCTATATCCATAAGAGAGAACTCAAATACTTCAGAAAATTCTGAAGGAAGACATTCGTATTAGATGATATTATGATTTTATTTCAATTAATCCATTTCAGATATGTTACTTTGTCTTCTGAAAAGAAAGATGGAAAATCGTGGCAGAAAATATATAATTACTAAAAAATAAAATATGTACTTTTATTGAAGGCCATTTGATTATATAAAATAAATTTTAAGTAAATTGTTAGTAATATTTTGTTCGTTCAACATCATTATGCTGTGGAATCCAGCCATGAAACGTTTAATAACAATGAATCATATAGATGCATTTAGTCTAGAGGTCTTTGGGCAGCAAATGATGGTGGCCACCACATTCCCCCCCCCCCTTTTTTTGCCTCTTCATCACCACTTGTTGCTCTTGTTTCATGTGTATGTGGACAATGCTGGAAATTGAATTTGTATCTGGAAGAAAGCAAGGCCAGTTTTTCCCCCATTATTCTGTCTTCTGTCTGCTGCAGTTGTGTTATTGATGTGCTTTTTAAGGTATTGAAAGAACAGGGTTTTTTCCCCCTCCCCTTTAAAAAAACCCCTCTTTTCACAGCTTTAGAAACCCTTGATGAATGAATGCTCAGAACAAGCCTTTCAGAAGACTCATATTGACCTTGTGTTTCTGGCAATGGGAAATAGCCCCAGTGGGCATTTAGTACTTTGGCTAAGGGCACAGAAATGAGTGACTGTTTATGTGGTATTTGCACCTTTCTATTGTTGAGCTAGACATTCTTTCAGCCCTTTTCATCAAGAGGGTAGAAAGTGGGATGGGAACAGGAAGTCTGGTTTTGCATAAGAATATGTAGCTTTTTGGTTCACTTTTATGGATTATTTCTTTCCCAAGCTCTGCATCTTTTGTGGGTTCTCTGCCTTATGCCAACATCCATGTGCTTTGACTCCCAGTCCTATTAATTAACTCATTGGTGGCCAAGGACTTTTAATATATAACTCAGGAGGAATTTAACTTGCAATAGTATATCCACTTTTTGTGATTTCCTCAGGAATTGTGTTCTTCAGATTAAATACTTTGCATGCTATAGAGAATGTCTAACTTGTTCCTTAAATAATTTTGGGTGCATTTAGACAGAAACAAGCTCATTAGTGACCATAATGTGCCTTTAAAAAATTTTTAAATGCAGAGCTACTGGTTTGATTTTGAGAGTATTACTTTCTCTTTAAACCCATTTCTCCTGATTTTAAATTCTCCATCAAAGTTTTTTTTTAAAATGTAGTGTATTTTATTATGCCTGTTGTATAGAATAGAATCTATGTGATATTTTCTCCTATTAAATTGATATACTGCTATTCTTCCATTTTTTACTTCACTAATATGAATGTGTAACATATTATAAATTTATAAATATTATAATTTTATAAATGCCAATTACATAATAACATATAATTTTTGAGAACATACAATTCCTTTAGTGATAATAGAGAAAAAAGCTACGTATATATTAGTCATCTGTTAATTGTAAAATACAATATATGCAGTTATGAGGTGTAATATAACTTTTCCCAAAGAAAAAAGTTACCATTTTAACTGAGAGTTACATTGTGAATTAACCAGACTGTCCAGATGATTTGTTTTCTACCCCAAAATGTAATAGAAATAAAAATATGCATTAAGTGGTAAGGGACTCATACAGACACAAATATTAGTCAATGTATATATTTATGTGTTATATTTAGGTCATTCCACATAAACTGTCAGTTAGGTTGAATTTGCTTGTCTATAAATGAATATTGAGTAATTCGTTTATAAAATGCCTGCTTGTTTGTTCAACTAGATGGAACTATTTAACATTAGAGAATAGTTTTAAAATCCTATTTAAAATCTTCACAAATTTTTTAAATATCCCTCAGTTATTATAAGGTTTTTAACTCTGGTAACAACTATCTAGGTTGTCTATTATAAATATGCATATGAAACTTTTCTGCAAGAGTTTCATGATGGGATCATAATATTTGGATTTTTCAAAGTGTGGAACAAAATTATTTCAACATTAAAAAATATTTTTTAATGGCAATATTCCTTGGCATTCATTTTTTCTGATAAACACTATAGTGGCATATATAATGTAGTTGATTCTAGTGAAATAAAATTTTCTCCAGTGACCTTCTTTTTATAAGTTCCTATCTTTTTTCTGTGCAGAGCTGTGGATGAACAATTGGTGTAATATCAAATAATTTGTAAGTGATAGACTGTTCATGGTTTTGCATAGTTGGTTAGAATAACTAACGTTTTAATCCCCCCCACATTCTCATGATCAATAAAAATGTCTACTATTAGTGGTAGGCAATCATTCAGGTAAATCAGGCTAATGTATTTATTGGCTTTAAAAATGATTTGGTGTTGATACACTGGGTATGGTTCAGTATTGAAGAGGCGAATAGATAGCTTTACATTCATTACTTTCTAAAGGTAGCAATGTTGTTTGCTAGTTTTAGGCTTTGCTAAACCTATTCCCCTTCCCAAGGCTCTGCCAGTACAATAGTGCTTGTAAGAAGTTAGTCCTCTTTGTTGGGAGTAGGAAGGGGAAGAGAAGAAGGGAAAGGAATATCGACAGTAGACCATTGTTATAGTCTGATTAATAGAAGTACTACTGAGAAAGGAATAATGCTGCATTTTCTGCATTAGCAAAAGCAAAATGCTGTCTACATTTGTTACTATATTATAGGTGCCTTGTCACAAATCAAACTTAGAGAGAGCCAAAGGGAAAATGACGAACAGCTCTTGTGGAGCTGGTCTGCTTTGCTGCTGTCAGTTCTGATTGGAGATAATTTTGCCAATAGACTGCAGCTGCCATTTCCAGAGCAGAAAGATGGTTTTTTAATCACAGGAGTGCAAAGCAATGATCTTGAAAGGCAGTATACTAGTATAGCAATTTAAAACTCACAGATGAAAGCAAATCCTACCTTGGTTATAAAGCTTGACACAGAGAGACATGCACATAGTACCATCCTCCCTCACCATCTCATTCTGCTTTCTGCCTGGTTTTTCATTAACTACAAAAACAGAATATAACATTCAGTGGCTGAGGATAAATAGACCAACATTTATGCATTGTGGCTAGATTTCCTTTCAAATCCAGTTAGCTTTGGCGGGTGTTTCTAAATGCTTATTAAAAGGCATGTGCTTCTATGGATATTAGTATTGTCAAAAGATATGTAAAGCTTTGGGGAATGGAAAAAGAAAACAAGGCAATTTAATAATATTAGTTAAAGAGAATAAAGGATTGTACTACTAAAATTATTTTATGATTAAAAGAAATTGGGTTTGTTACTCTTTCCCTTTTTAAAAGTAATTAAATTATGCAATTTTTCTTGCTTGTTGAATGAGTCGTCATATTTATTCCTTTCCCTCCCCTCTTTTTGGACAAATAGCTCCTGGCTGATGTAGACATATTTTCTTTAAAAGCCAGTAAGAATATATGTGCTGCCTTAAATAGTGCTTTGGATTCCATTGCTGGCCAAGAAAGGAATTTTCCAGGACCAAGTAAGATTGGCTGATGAATCTCAACTTCAGGAGATTTATTATTTTTTCCTTTTGAATGCCATCTGAGGAATGGCTGCTTGTACTGCTTGTAGAATATGATCCAAAACTGGATGCAGTATTTCAAATGTGTCTTACCAAGGTCTTATAAATCAGTACTGATACTTCACATGATCTTGATTCTATCCCTTTATTAATGCAACCTAGGATTGCATTGGCTTTTTTGGCTGCTGCCACACACTGCTGGCTCATATTTAAGTGATTATCCACCAGGACTCTGGTAGAATTGCAAAGTTTCTCATACTCCCCACAAAAGATTGGG